ATTTAATGGTAACATTTTTTACACAACTAGATATGTTTTGTAAACTTATTTTTCCGCTAGTTTAAAAAAATGGCTTTCAAATCATATTTTTTTGAATTTTGATACATTTTAAAATTCTACGACTTGAAAGGCCGTAATATTTTAGTATGTTCTTTAGTACCATGATGTCTATCAACATAAAAAGTTTCATTGAATTGAACAAACGATAGTCCTCATCGAAATACATCGAATGTGTGAATTGAATTTTTGAGAAAATGTCGATGTAAGGTAAAAAATCAGTTCACACACACACACTTCCAAATTTGATCTCATTCGATTCAGAATGTCTTGAAACGTCGAGAAAACAAAATTATAAATCAGATTTTTTGATAAAAACAAACTTCTTCGGGAAGTTAAAAATGGCAACCTTCAATGTGCTAGAGAGGAACATTGAAACTGAATGAAGTAAAATGTATCACTTTGTGCCGACTTAACTTCAAGGTCTGGGTATATATATATATATATATATATATATATATATATATATATATATATAGATATATATATATATTTTATGTGTAGTGTCATTGCATATTAAAACATGCATTCCCAAGGTATATAAACTGCAAACTCTGTGCTCTGACCAGCGGTGATGAAAAAAATCCAAACCAAAATGAATTGTTAATACATGTACAAACAGGTAACTAATATATAAATTCGTCATACTTATCGAATCACTTCGAGAAGGATCCTTAGGCCATGCACACATTGATTAATATTTCAATTTGTAAGACTGAAAATTAAAACACGAATATATCAACAGCCCCTTCATTTACAAGATATAATTCATATGCTAAAATATCAAATCTATTTTACACAAAACACTGGATCAACAGCTAATCGCAACAATGTGGACAATTAAAAATAAATTATAATAAATACCTGCTGATGATAAAGTTCTTCAGACCAAGAGATCTAAATCCAGAATCTCGCATGCGTGAAGAACGACTCGCCAACTTATTTCGCACCAGTTCAGATGTTGCCATTTCCTATTCAAAACAATTGACTTTCCAATTATCAATTCCAATTAAATTATTTTAATTATTCCAATTATTAAATTTAATTATTAAGTTATTAAAAATTTTCATTAAAATATTATTAAGATTTATTGTGTACATATTTAACATAATATTTGTATAAAAAAGTTTTAAATATGCAAATAGTGTTTGCTAAAGATAAATAATATATGTATGCGATTAATTACCTCTCCATTACTGGGCCAATGATGTTAATGTTATCACCAACAAAACCATTTTTGTCCCTTCATAACTATATTACTGGGAGGTTCATGGTCTTGTCCCTCATCGGATGACCAAACCGTAGTACTTGCTCAGGCTCAAGTTTGAGAGTACGGTGAAATTTGAACCCAGTTTCAGCATCACCTGCTTTTCGGGTAATTTGCCAGCCACCAAGAGAAACTTCCTATTAAAAAACATTTATACATCACTCGCAATTCATACAGGAATGTAGAAAATAACAGCATTTTATTTTAAAATTTTATAATAAATAAAAAGAATTTACTGTGCTTCCTTCCCATTGTAACAAGTATCAATTGATTTTTAGTCAAACTAAGTTTGCTTGAAAGCTCATATCTTCAGAAATGATGCTTTAGTAGCAAATCACAATTAACGTAAATCTCCTTTAATAATTGTTGAATTATTTCTATGAATTATTTCGAAATTTGTCTTCAATGTTATTTATTATATAAATATGTAACATAGTGCAAGCAATTAAGTGGAGTTCAAAAGTTAGTATTTTACCTTGGTTCCTTTATTTGTAAGTTTAACAAAACGTCCTTCCGTGTCACTTTTTGTTATTTCAATATCTCCTTTGCAGGTTGCATGCTCCGTAAATTCACTAAGACTGCTTTCATGCGATTCTTCCAGTAAAGTGCGTTTACGTTTTCCACCTAGGCGTGATGGAGGACGACGTGACATCAGGGGGGTGCTGCGACCGGCCTCAGACTTTCCCGATCCTGATTGTTGGCTGATGTTCAATCTATTCATAATAAAAAATATAATGGTAATTTAAATTAATTATGAAGATTATTGATTTTGTGTATCACAGTACATATCATTACATATTAAATTCTAAGAATCCATCAAATTACAAATAGACTTAAAACCTATATAAATATCCATATCTATATAAATGTATCTGTATAACCTATGTGTGGACTGTATTTTATAAAATAGAATAAAGTTCGTCAACTCTTACAAATGTTCCATTATAAACATAGATGGTAGTAAAGCAAAAAAAAAATTTATGTTATGAGAACAATAACATAAACTTAACACTGGCATGCGGGCATACTTCGCCGCCGAATTACGCGTGCAGGGCGTTTTTTCGTGTCGCAAAGCCGGCGAAAATACAAATCAAGAATATTATAAGAATATAATTTATTTGACCTGCCATGAGGGATCAATTTAAAAAGTTTTTATGTCCTTTTTGGTATAAAAGGCTACGGATCTTTATAATGTGGTTTATACCACATTTGGTTATTCAAAAGGATCGCAAAAAATCGAACACTACTTCGTTTTTTATGAACGAGCTTTTTTTATTTTACCTGTACAAGTAGAACCGATAACTAATAGTTTTTTACAGTATGGTACCATTCGAAGCATTATCCTCTGTGAAGAGGAACACATCAGAAAGCTACATAGAAACATGTTTCACTTTGCACTTTTTGAAGTTATTTCAGAATTTGCTTCGGACGAAGACTCGAGAACGTGGATAATATCATCATAGTCGCTTTCTTAGATTCTTGACTTTCAGAACACTATCATACGAAAAGTCCGATAATCTGCCAGCGCATATTTCTTCATCACTATCTTTGTCACAACGGCTCATTTTATCAATTTGTAATCAACAATAAAAAAAAACAAGCCTCAATTGACAAAACACGACTTGTCCGTTCTGGAGCTAGGAATTCGATTGAAGACGAAATAACTCAACAAAAGACTGACAATAATAACTTGTGAAAAAAAATGCAAACACCACGCAT